GCTTCCCCTGCACTCACCATGTAGCCCAAGCTGGATTTGAACTTGCAACAGTTCTCCTGTCTCAGCCTCTTGACTGCTGGGGTTAGAGTAGGCTTGCACCACCATGCCTGGCCTTTTTTAGGAGATTTTTTAAAATTTTACTTTTTATTTTTTGGTACAAGGAATTAAACTCAGGATCTTGTGCTTGCTAGTCAAGCGCTTATGCTGCTGAGCTATCTCTATGGCCCTTCTCAGGAGATTTAGAACTGATTTATGTAAAGCTAAATTATAGATGGACTCAAGGTTTAGAATATTGATTCTTAGACTATTTTTTTTACCATAAACTTCCTTGAAGGTCACATGTATTCTTTGGAAATAACATGTTAGGAATCTTAGGTTGATGAAGTGGTAAAAGGAGCCTATGTAATTCTCTGGCTCCTCTTCCTTTCTACAACCAGTAAGTCCTATTACCATCATCTCCCACCGCCTCTGCCCACCCATAGGTGGACCATCTATATCAGTTGGGGTCTCTGGCTCCTTCAATATTATCCCTGATCATGGACACCTATACTTGCATCTTCTGGGACTTTCCTGAGTTTCCTGCTCTGCCCTACTTCAGTGAATATATTTAATTTTTTAACTCACAACCCTTCTTGTACCACTCCTCCCACTGCAACTTTATGTATGACTTTTTGGACTGACCAACAAGAAACTTCTTTTTATACTGTGCTAGCAGGATCGAGAACAGAAAGAAGCAAGTGACAGAAGATCTTCCATCTGTATTGCTAACAGCAAAGATGCCCCATCACCCTAAAAAAGACAAACCAGGTGAATATTTTAAAGAACCTGTCCCATATCTTTAATAATTTTAGCATTTCCTCTTGGGAGCTTTCTGTAGATACATTTCCATTTATAAGTTATCTCTGTACCTCATAGAAAAATACAAACTTACCATTTGTGGGTAATAAATAGGAACTGTGTGATACATTGTTTCAGACTTGTAGCTTACAAAGAGTTAAAAGCATTCTGCTTTAAAGTTAACTAAGTTTGTAAATATGACAGATAACAGTATTAAATTATCTATAATTATATTTTATAAAATGGAATTAAATAAAGCTAACATAGAACTAGAATAAAATAAATAATGAAATTCATATTGAAGACA